GAAATTGATAAATGTATTTGAAAGTAAATACTTGACCTAGCTTCACATAAAATGTCTTGGGTCAGATATCAGTTATTTCCTTTCATTAATGATTATTAAGAGGGACAAATAGTTTACCAGATGTCAAAAACAGTATTGTCCTTGGATAATTTTTGTATATAACATAGGAAATAGAACGAAGAACTATTGTTTGTTATGAATGAATGAATTGAATGAAATATATATTATTATCAATAGAATCCAGTCACGCCTGTAAAAATAGATATTTTATTTCTATTCAGCTGTTTGAAATCTTGAGCTGTTTGAAATCTTGAGATTATAGATATACAGTGGTTTTACGTACTTGACTGTCCATTATTTTTGAAATATCAAAAAAAGATATCAGTCTTTGATTTACTACTCTTACCACAATATCAAGCTGTAATGAACTTTGTCTTGTTCCTTGACTGCATTATTCACCTTTCTTGTGTCACAAAAGTTTGTAAAAGCTGTGAATTGATTGCATTGTATTGCCAATCAGAGTCTTCGACTGTAAGATTGTAAACAATTAGTAATAATGTTTGCAGTCTTTCTGTCTATGCTCTGATATAAGTCAAGGTATAAGATCATGTTTGTAATAGCCCCACATTGTGAAGGTGCTCCATGTTTTGAAGTTTTCAATTCCTTTTTTAATACTTTGAATAAGTATATTTTGCAAAAATGTTCATGTATGGCTCCTCTAAAGAGATAGAAATTGTACGGTTCAAGAAAAATGCTGGTAAACACTGCATCATAATTATTCATTTTTATCGTTGTTAATAATCATTATGCATCTAAAAACAACAACAAGATAATTATCATACTAACTATATTAGCCTTATTTATGACTTTCTGTAGTCAGACATGGCCTACATAATACTTTTACAACACGTTGGCAAATCGGGGTCAAAAATAATATCAGGCATTTCAGTACATGCTTTAAGGAATGAAAGATAAAAAAAACGCAAAACTAAACATAAAAATCAGCCATTCAAGAGGGTGTAAATTAGATTTATATTATTCATACAATATTTCTATATCACTCTACAATTGATGTATTGAGCATTATTTTAACAGTGATATTTCTATATATATCACTCTACAATTGATGTATTAGGCATTATTTTAACAGTGATATTTCTATATAGCTCTACAATTAATGTATTGAGCACTATTTTAACAGTAGTATTTCTATATAGCTCTACAATTATTGTATTGAGCACTATTTTAACAGTAGTATTTCTATATAGCTCTACAATTGATGTATTGAGCACTATTTTAACAGTAGTATTTCTATATCACTCTACAATTGATGTATTGGGCATTATTTTAACAATGATATTTCTATAACCCTCTTCAATTGATGTATTGAGCACTATTTTAACAGTGATATTTCTATTTCGCTCTACAATTGATGTATTGAGCATTATTTTAACAGTGATATTTCTATTTCGCTCTACAATTGATGTATTGAGCACTATTTTAACAGTGATATTTCTATATCACTCTACAATTAATGTATTGAGCATTATTTTAACAGTGATATTTCTATATCGCTCTACAATTGATGTATTGGGCATTATTTTAACAGTGATATTTCTATAACCCTCTTCAATTGATGTATTGAGCACTATTTTAACAGTGATATTTCTATTTCGCTCTACAATTGATGTATTGAGCATTATTTTAACAGTGATATTTCTATTTCGCTCTACAATTGATGTATTGAGCATTATTTTAACAGTGATATTTCTATTTCGCTCTACAATTGATGTATTGAGCACTATTTTAACAGTGATATTTCTATATCACTCTACAATTAATGTATTGAGCATTATTTTAACAGTGATATTTCTATATCGCTCTACAATTGATGTATTGGGCATTATTTTAACAGTGATATTTCTATAACCCTCTTCTATTGATGTATTGAGCACTATTTTAACAGTGATATTTCTATTTCGCTCTACAATTGATGTATTGAGCATTATTTTAACAGTGATATTTCTATTTCGCTCTACAATTGATGTATTGAGCACTATTTTAACAGTGATATTTCTATATCACTCTACAATTAATGTATTGAGCATTATTTTAACAGTGATATTTCTATATCGCTCTACAATTGATGTATTGGGCATTATTTTAACAGTGATATTTCTATATCACTCTACAATTAATGTATTGAGCATTATTTTAACAGTGATATTTCTATATAGCTCTACAATTAATGTATTGGGCATTATTTTAACAGTGATATTTCTATTTCGCTCTACAATTGATGTATTGAGCATTATTTTAACAGTGAACATATTTTAATATTGTATCATTCATACATATATGAATATTTACCCTGAAACATAGATATAAGTTACTCATGTAAAGATTATGCAACAGAGACTGGACATTAACATTATTAAATCATTTATTCAATCTATAATAATAAGTTGTCTTCATGGAATACTCCAGAAAAAGGAAACAAAATAAAAGGAGTCTTCAAATCACATTCCTGCTAAAAACTGTGCCAAGAATTCAATTTGGTTGATTAGAAGATTTCCTTCCTCTCATTTTACTACAACCTCTACCAGATTTCGCGAAGTTATGAAATTTGAAATAAGTAAACGAAAATGGCGCTTAAGGAGATCTCAGGTACAAATGTTGATCATTTTTAACTGGACTAAAAGTGGTGTTACTAATGAACATTTCGCCAAACACATGTTTCACCTTTTGTCTCTTAAAAGTGCTCAGATATTATTTGTGCTTACATTTTTTTTATGCTTTTCAGAGTCAGAAGTGTTGGGTAGAGAAGACATTTTATAAAAGAGAATGTTGTAAATTTATTAGAAGTCCAAGAGATCCTACAAAGTAAGTAAATTCTTTATTTTCTGTCACAACTTTTTTTACCATTATATTAGAGCTATTTTAAGAACAGTTTGTTTGGACTTAAATGATTACAATTACCTTAAGAAGAAAATCATTCCAAAGTTAAGAATTTCATTTTTTCAATTAACTTCAAACTTTCTCATAAACAGATTGAGACTCCTACCATGTGTAAACTGATTTCTTCTATTTCCTACTTGACTTTGACAATGACTAGATATCAGAACATGGGTTCAGCTGTCTTGTTATAGTTTGGTCTACTGTATCTTACAAGTATTCTAATCCTATTCTATTCTACACGTATCAATTGCATTGCAATTTTGTTCGAGATTTATCTATTTTCTCCATGTCTTTCTTTAAATTCCTAAAATTCTTCAGTCGTTGTCAGGTAATCAAATGCATAAGCTCATTGTGATTATTGTTACTGGGGTAAGGCAGGTCAATCGAGATCTACTCCATACCTCACTTATCATTGTCAGGAACCAGTGAAATGTAAATTATTTCCGAAGTGCTCAATCATTCCGGAAATCTCTTGAAGGCTGATAATGATGTATCTACTTTTGAGTCTAGATTATCAAGTTGTTTAAGATCCATAAATAAGACTATAATACTGATGTATTGGAATATATATCAGTGTAAATCTGGTGGATTAAACTGTAAATATCATACTCAGTTGACATAACCTTACATATTATACATAACTTACACTTTACTTTCAAACTTATAATAACTTAAGATTAGAAGAGATTTTATCTTCATAAGTTTGTTCAGTTAAAATTTTCAGCTTTTGTTGGAAATTGGATAAAATTTTCAGCTCCTATCTAGAACTAGATCAAATATTAAGCTCTAATCTCAATTAGATCCAATATCTGCTCTGGAAGGGATCCAACTGGGGCCAATACACCTATTAGATCAATATGCAGTTCTTTTTTTTTTAAATTAAATCCCATGGTTATCACTCTGATCTTTGAAAATTCATTATTCGGTTTTAGTCTAGTACCTAGTATTAGAACAGAGAAGACAAGAGCGGGTGTGCAAATTATAACACATCAAATTTCCTTAGACAGTGACTAGTTTCAATCTGGAATGGATAAAGTGGTGCTTGGTTTTCATTTTGCAATGAAAGGAAATATAGTGTATATTGTCCTTTGAACTAGTAAAACATTATCAAGCTATCATCAGTAATATTCTTAGAAACTGAAATGTCCAAAGTGACACAAATTATCAAGAAGACAGTGTATCTGGAAAATATATCAGACAATGTGTTACCTTCTCTTGATATGATTATACCATTTCAGCCATCTCAAGACATTTCAACTATTGCTATTGATTCCAATTACCCCCTGCTATATATAGTCTTCTTAAAACATTCCCTGAAGACACTGAAGCCTAATGTGCAAGGTTTTATCTATGGCCTCTCTCAGAGTTCTATCTCAGCACATGGGTGTAGCTTGTTCCTTCAGTATTCTTTTGACATTGACATACAGGTCAAGGGAAGGAGGTCAGATAAAAAAGTTTAAAATAATATAAGAGAAGGTGGCAAAATTCTCCTCTTTTCATATGAATGTAATTGCTTATCAGTATCAGTCCAATAAGATGCAAAAAAATAATGATTTGTGTTGTTTCTATTCAAATAATTCCCATGTTGAAAGGATTCTAATACTTCTACCATCTAAATGTAAAGCGACATGATTCCAGTTGTTACATTCTGATTGATTTTTAACTAGTTGTCCATTTTAAATCAAATTAGAAGGAATTCCTTTTTAGAATTCTTAAACCTAATCTGATTGGTTAATCAATACCATTAGCAGACGCCTATTTTCTAATGGAAATAATAATGGTACATTACATTATCAGATCTAAATAAAACTTTCTATAATGGCTTGGGATTTGAGAAAAACTAAGGAACTTAAATCCTAATAAATTCTACTTTGGTTTAAAGGCTTTATTGATAAAGGTTAAGGGCCAATCAAATATTCCTATGAGTACTGTTTACACGTTCAGACACTTTCTGTCAGTGTTGTCTGTTTACAAGTTCAGACAATTTCTGTCAGTGTTGTTGTCTGTTTACACGTTCAGACAATTTCTGTTAGTGTTGTTGCCTGTTTACTAGTTCAGACACTTTCTGTCAGTGTTGTTGTCTGTTTATAAGTTCAGACAATTTCTGTCAGTGTTGTTGTCTGTTTACAAATTCAGACAATTTCTATCAGTGTTGTTGGTTGTTTACACATTCAGACAATTTTTGTCAGTGTTGTTGTCTGTTTACAAGTTTAGACAATTTCTGTCAGTGTTGTTGTCTGTTTACAAGTTCAGAAACTTTCTGTCAGTGTTGTTGTCTGTTAACAAGATCAGACGCTTTCTATCAGTGTTTTTGTCTGTTTACAAATTCAGACAATTTCTGTCAGTGTTGTCTGTTTACAAGTTCAGACAATTTCTGTCAGTGTTGATGTCTGTTTACACATTCAGACAATTTTTGTCAGTGTTGTTGTCTGTTTACAAGTTCCGACAATTCCTGTCAGTGTTGTGATCTGTTTACAAGTTCAGAAACTTTCTGTCAGTGTTGTTGTCTGTTAACAAGATCAGACGCTTTCTATCAGTGTTTTTGTCTGTTTACAAATTCAGACAATTTCTGCTAGTGTTGTTGTTTGTTTACATGTTCAGACAACTTCTGTCAGTGTTGTTTGTTATTAACAAGTTCAGACTCTTTCTGTTACAGTTTTTGATTGTTTATGAGTTCAGATTCTTTCTGTTACAGTTTTTGATTGTTTATAAGTTCAGATTCTTTCTGTTACAGTTTTTGATTGTTAATGAGTTCAGATTATTTCTGTTACTGTTTTTGATTGTTAATGAGTTCAGATTCTTTCTGTTACAGTTTTTGATTGTTTATGAGTTCAGATTCTTTCTGTTACAGTTTTTGATTGTTTATGAGTTAAGATTCTTTCTGTTACAGTTTTTGATTGTTTATGAGTTGACTAGCTCAGACACTTATATGGTTTTGAGTTCAGATACTTGCTGTTACCTAAATTGACTTTCAACCAGTTTATTTGTTGAATATATCTACTTATTATATTATTATATTCAAATCTTATGATTTATTGATGAGTTTCTACTTAGACAGTTATTTAGTCTAGACTATCTATCAGTTGTTAATTGTAGTTTTACAGTTATATAAAGTACTGGTACTTGATAATCAAGATACAATACAAAGACACTTATTTCCAGACACTATTGGAAATTATTTAAACTAATTTAAAAATCTATTTTACCCTTTTACCCTATTGCCAATGTCCTGTTGACATTTGATAATGTGTAATATTCTTATTATAAGAGCTGACATGAAGGAATAAAATGTAGTTTTTGGCACAGTATCTCCTTTCTTTTAAATCAAGAAATTGATACAAGGACAGGTTTGTAGCATAGTGGGTTAGAACACTGGAATCGGAAGTTACAATGTCATTTTCGGGTTATTTCAAACAAATAGTGGTGATGGGTTCTAATGTCAGTTGACATGTAAACATCTGATGACCCTGAACAATTCAACTAATTTGTATTAGTGCAAATATTCTGAGAAAGATCAATCAAAAAGTTTGACCAAAGTGTAGCTAGTAGAAAAATCCTCCTGAACCTAAATTGTAGTTCTAATGAAGCATTTTTCTTTCTAATCACAAAAGAGTTGAATTCATCTAAAAGTGTGATTAAAAGATTTTTACAAAGTGAAAAGTAGCTCCTCTTTCTGTTCACAGAATCCAAACTTTTTCGCCTTCAATTTTTTTGGTTATTTTTCAGATGTTATTGTGGTAGAGGTGAATCTTGGCACACCACATTTTTACCTGCAAGTATCAGTACAGAGAAAGACGAGAAATGGCATCCATACAAACATACAGAGGCCAAACAGACCGATGCTTATGGTACTATAGAGTTTCAAGGTGCACCCCACCCTAGTAAAGCACAGGTTAATATTTGTTGCTTCTTATTATTACTTAAGGCGTATCAGAACAATTTTTTGGCAAATTTGAAAATTAACATGTTAAATATCAGTCTAGAAAACTTGTAATGATGAATGGTGGTTGCACATTGAGATTGTAAATAGTATCTAATTTTTGCTATTTCCATTAAGTCTATTGATTTATTACTCACAGAAAAGTAGAAAATTTGTGATAATTATCGTCGCAACTAAAATACAAGGCTATCACAATATATAATATATATATAATTTTATTATGGTGAAAATACAGAACATAGGTGCAAATAAACTATACAAATTATTCATTAAACATCAAATTGTACATAACACAGTTTGACACAAAAGTTATTTTCAATTAATACAAAAAGCTGCAAAAATAAAAATAAAAATAAAAGAAAAGGATACACATAAAGAAGGGATGGTGGGAGGGGAAAGAAAAATTTAGAGAATTATCTCTGTCGAGTGTCGCTGAACTAATAACGTATGAATAGTAAAATTGAATATAGCAAAAAGTGAGCAATATCAATGGATTAAAGAGATGAAAGTTAAAGTGGTGAAACTAGGTTACTTATGATAATTAACCATTTTATGTATAAAATTATACAATTCTGTTTTTGAATAAAATGCCAACTTGAATATATTTTGTCACATGGCAAACAAACTGACATTTAGATAGCAATCATCAGAAATTAAACCAGTGGTAATTAACTGGTAAAATGATAAAAAAAAATCAAGTAGTATAATCTTCTGTCTAGTAGTGGTAAATATCATTATCATTAGATGTATTTTAGTTAAATGTCGTTCTCTTTGATGAAAATATCTTTGTGTTTCCACCATTTAAATTTTCAACAAGACTAGTTCAGCAGTTAAAAACTGATTTGAAATTATGATTTTTTGAAATTGATTTTTAGGAAATAGGAACCACAATTTTATTTGCTTTTATTCCTTTATTAATTCCTGAACTCTATTTCAGTATGTAAGGTTGAGTAGTTTTGATACGAAACCAGAACAAGTTTTACAACTCCTACAGAAAAACTGGGGATTAGATCTTCCCAAATTACTAATTACTGTTCATGGAGGCATTTTAAACTTTGATATACAACCAAAGTTAAAGCGAGTTTTTAGAAAAGGTTTATTGAAAGCTGCTAAAACAACTGGTGCCTGGATTGTAACTGGTGGTACCAATACAGGTAATATTCTTCAGATTTTATGTCGCACGTTAAACTTATGTCTGTTTTCATAGCTGAGGTGGGTTGATTACAGCTTCCAAATAGTGCTTGAATTAGTCTTAGTTAATACTTTAGACTGCCCAAGTGATATGCAACCATAAATATGAAGAAACCAATGATATATCAGATTCTTATTTTGCTCCTAATAACCAAATATCTGCGAATTATTTGTCAAGTGATTTTAAAGTAAGATCTATATCGATATATTTTGGTGAAATTGTGATATTAAATTATGTTTCTTCTTCGTAGGTGTAACTCGTCATGTAGGAGATGCTATCAGTGATCGCACAACGAAAGCTAAAAATAAAGTGGTAGCTATTGGTATATCACCATGGGGAGTGGTAGAAAATAGAGATGATCTCATTGGTCGAGATGTAAGTATCAGTCATCTGTATCTACTGAGCCCTTTTTCTCAAAGTTTTTACACTATTTTGTGGAAGTTATTAAACTAAAATCTGAGGCTATATATGCTCTTTAGGAAACTAAGATGATTAAAACATGGAAACAGTTTTGTTACTGCGTTCTGAATCTACATTATGCCAGTTTTGTGCAATAAAACAATATCCTAATTGAGAAATGAATTATAAGCATGCTCATCTGGTTTTCTCTCTGGCATTCCATTAAATGGTTAAATTTGAATGTTAAAGATTAGATAATAATTGCAATCATTAGCAAACTTTTCTAACAACTTTGAACTGGTTGTTATTTCAGATTGTGGTACCATACCACTGTGTGTCATCAGGGAAAAGTAACTCTGCCGTCCTTAATAGTAATCATTCATACTTTATGTTGGTTGATAATGGCACAGTTGGCAAGTATGGTGGAGATATTCTCTTCAGAAAAAAACTGGAAAAATTCATTTGTCAACAAACAATTTGTATAAGTAAGTATTATAATATAATATATAAAACATTCTCTAGTCTCCTCAGTTGGTCATACTATCATATTTGTGAAGAATATGAAGGTTTGTTAAAGAATTGCACATGCCATGCCTTGACATATAGCATACATAGTTACATAGGTACAGAGTTAAATCTTTTGTATGACCTGTTATATAAAAGAGTCTTTAGGTTAAGTAGAGGTACTTTGTGGTAGACAAATAGAAAGACATATATCCAAATCAAAATCATTCTTCAAACATTCCCATAGTATACAAGCTAAGTAGCTAAGAATTTATAAAATTATCTTATAATTTGTGAAAGTTAAGAGCTCCTGATTGAAGGAAGATAAATTGTAAATATCAATCAGACTACAGTTAAGGCTTGTTTCTATTACAGCTAGTGGTTTTAAAGGTCGAGGCGTACCTGTGATATGTGTTGTATTAGAGGGCGGGGCTAATACTATACGTTCAGTATTAGAATATGTAACAGACACGCCCCCTGTTCCTGTCGTTGTATGTGATGGGAGTGGCAGGGCAGCAGATTTATTGGCATTTAGTCATAAATATACCAGTGATGATGGGTAAGACATGTAATTCATTTGATTTGAATACAGTTGAATACCAAGTGCTTTCACCTGCCTCTCTATTGGTTAATTCAGTCTTTTCCTGTTCCCAACCTACTTATGTGCATAACAACTTATATACTTTCCATGACTTTTTGCTCTGTTGTGAAGTCATTACAAATATCTGCAATTTAACATGTGATTTGAATTATATTTATTACAGCACCATGCCAGAAAGTTTAAGAGATCAGTTGATTTTAACGATACAGAAAACTTTCCAATATTCTCTAGAACAAGCTGAAAAACTCTTTATAGAATTAATGTTATGTGTCAAGAAGAAGGAATTGGTAAGTCAAAAAACCAATGAAAGGAGACAATTTTTTGATACATAAAATTAATTTGAATGTCCTTTCAAGATTAAGAAAATAATAATTGAGATCTTAATTTTTAATTCTACTAAATGATATTGGGCTGTGTTTAAAAAATAAGTCTTATGTTTTGATGCAATTGATACATACACATATAAGTTATTGAAATGTACCTTTTATTCTATAAGCAGACAATATACACATTATAGAAAATATTGGTATTACATAAATCTTCTGTTTGAATATAGAGAAAGATATGATATTGGTATTATATTTGTAGATCACTGTATTTAGAATGGGAGAAGGCAGTCAAGATATAGATCTTGCTATTCTCACAGCTTTATTAAAAGGTTTGTAATTTCTTTAATAATTTCAACATTGAAAATTAGTGACTGAAGAATAATTAATGTGAAGGAATATTGAAATTTATGAACAAATATATTTTGGACACGAAATATGGCTAAAATTCATCAATAAATGGCAATTATTTTGACAAAAGAAATCAGGAATCTTTATGTTGCTTGTGAAGAAATCTAATTCTGCTTAATATTGCTGAATTGGGTAGCTCTGCCAAGGTGTGTTTTATATTATATCAGCTGTGTTGAATAGTCTTCTAAAAGTAATAATGTTGTATATTTAATTGCGACTGTATGATATTGTATGTTTGATTGTGACAGTATGATATTGTATGTTTGATTGTGACTGTATTATATTGTATGTTTGATTGTGACTGTATGATATTGTATGTTTGATTGTGACTGTATGCTATTGTATGTTTGATTGTGACTGTATGATATTGTATGTTTGATTGTGACTGTATGATATTGTATGTTTGATTGTGACAGTATGATATTGTATGTTTGATTGTGACTGTATGATATTGTATGTTTGATTGTGACTGTATGATATTGTATATTTGATTGTGACAGTATGATATTGTATGTTTGATTGTGACTGTATGATATTGTATATTTGATTGTGACTGTATGATATTGTATATTTGATTGTGACTGTATGATATTGTATATTTGATTGTGACTGTATTATATTGTATATTTGATTGTGACAGTATGATATTGTATATTTTATTGTGACAGTATGATATTGTATGTTTGATTGTGACTGTATTATATTGTATATTTGATTGTGACTGTATGATATTGTATATTTGATTGTGACTGTATGATATTGTATGTTTGATTGTGACTGTATGATATTGTATGTTTGATTGTGACTGTATGATATTGTATATTTGATTGTGACTGTATGATATTGTATGTTTGATTGTGACTGTATGATATTGTATGTTTGATTGTGACTGTATGATATTGTATGTTTGATTGTGACTGTATGATATTGTATATTTGATTGTGACTGTATGATATTGTATATTTGATTGTGACTGTATGATATTGTATGTTTGATTGTGACTGTATGATATTGTATGTTTGATTGTGACAGTATTATATTGTATGTTTGATTTTGACTGTATGATATTGTATGTTTGATTGTGACTGTATGATATTGTATATTTGATTGTGACTGTATGATATTGTATGTTTGATTGTGACTGTATGATATTATATGTTTGATTTTGACTGTATGATATTGTATGTTTGATTGTGACTGTATGATATTGTATGTTT